TTTTTCTCACAGACAGTGCCCAACTGACCCTACTATACTGTGCAGTCGACAAAATAATGCACAAAATTAAAAATATAAAATTGCGACAATTTACCCATCGCGCCTTGTATATATACTCACATAATCCATAAATAAAATAAAAAATGTTTCATGATATTCATTGATGACCAACTGGCTAAAATTTCACAATGTTTATGCTCCTAAAGTCAGATAAGAATAATTGTATTATTGACAGTAATTTAAATGTTTATTAAATATGATGACTAAATTTTCAATACAAACATCTGTTAAACCTGTGACAACTGAAAACCTAAATATTTCATTTTATATTTCTCTCTGTGTGTGTGTGTGTAATCATATATTTGGGCAGCAAAATATGTAGAACATTTGAACAGTTTTTACACACTTTATGTTCAGAAAAGGAAGCACATATACCAGAGGTTTCCAAACTTTTTTCAAAGAAGGCCAGATTTGATGACGTGAATATGCATAAGGGCCAACCATTCTGCTTGGCATTCTTTGAACCATTAAAATTAAATGCAAATGAAGTATCTTATGAAATTTTATTGCAAATGGCATATTTTCATTTCTTCAGATAGATGACAAATAAATTTAAACAGATCTTACCAAACTCACTCAGCCTGTCATATCTGTAGCCCAGATAAGATGATGCAAAATATGTCTGAGTAAAAAGAAGTTCCAGGAAGTTATATTTCATTACATATTATTGATAATTAATGTTGTCTGTCAACTTTTAAGTTAAAAGCATATAAATAGGAACATAACACCAACTTTCATCTTATTAAGAAGTAGAAAACAAAGTGACACAAGCGCAAGTGTTCAAATAGATTTATAACTGATTTATGTCGTAGAAAAACATAATTTACACATAGTTAGAGTTAACAAAATAAATCCAAATTTATGTAATTATTAGAAAACATATATCTCTAACTATGCACCAATTTTTGTTTAGCTAAGTCATATGCATGCTGCTCTCTACTCAAAACAAATTTTAAAACAAACACAAATATATCAGAGTGCTGGTCATTATTGACACGACTTTCACTTGCCACAGATGTCTACAACTACATCCATGTTCTCCCCTTATATAGGCTATAAGAGAAGCTGAACAAAAGCAGAGAGAGAGAGAGAGACTAACCATAGAGGCTACTTAAGGGCACAGCTGACTGCCTGTCTGACCATTAGGCTGTGGAAATGACTTTCTGTGAACGCAGAAAGAGAAATAGACCTCACTATCCAAATGACAAGTCCAAAACTGATAGCCAAGAAGCAGTCAGCTGGTTTAAGCATACTCCTTTTTCATGCTCTCATTTCACACTTTGTACACTGTACATTTGAACATTACACCATAGTACTTACCAGGAACATTTTCATATATTGTAAATAATAAATAAATATTGGGTCATTTCTCCAAACCAGTGTTTAATTTGTTTCTTTACTCCAGCCAACTTCTACCTTTGATCACCTGCACTAATGTGAAGGGTGATACTGAGATCTGGACTGCAGCATGTTGGCCAGGTCTAGTTCAAAGGCAGTGATTTTAGGAATTGTCTGGAAAAGGCCATGGTCATTGTCACACTGCCAGAGGGTGGCCACACTGTGCTGTTGCCATCTTTTGGTAAAATACAAAATTGCATTTCTAAGGTGTGTACTTTGGTACACTGATTGATAATACTGGCAGGCTGTAAGTGATACATTCTATGACAGTGGATGGTGGGGGGAGCATATGAAATTTGACTGTGCACCATAATTCGCCCAAGGGTTGAACTTTGGACATGCCTACAGACACAAGAAAAATTGACTAAAAATCCTAATCGCATTACCTTGTCAATCATCTTTAATGAAACTTGTATATATATTTTTATCACTTTAAACATTATTTTCCAGTGGGCACTCATATTTGAGTAGATGCTCCATTTATTTATTAAACAGTAGATTTACTTATTTACATCTACCAGCCCGAATATTCAAGAAATATTACTAAAGAAAAATATATGTTCTCTAGCAGGATTCGAACATGCGTTCCTCTGGGCAAAGTGAAACTTTTGTTAGATAAAATTTGTCAGATCGATAAATAAACATCCATTACCTTAATATATACACAGTAATGCTTATAGTATTTTAATATAGTGAGTTCCTGGTGCCCACAGGTGGTGATTCAATGAGTCCCAACTAAAGTTGTGTTAAACTGCAGGGCTACAGATTAAGTTTTTTTTTACCATCATTCCAACAAACATTTTTAATCATGCTGAATTACTTAAATCAACAGAGCAACTTCATTTTTTTTAATTTTAAATTAATAAATTCTGTACAAAAATAGTTACACTGAATTACAATTCAATTAAGAAACTATTTTTTTTTGAAAATTAAGACAATGTTTATTTTTAAAGTTAAATTCAATACAAAAATAATATTTACAATCAATCACAGTTCAAGTAAGAAACTATATTTTTTGAGAATTATGACAACAGAATTTTGTTTTTTTTTAAATTAAATACAAAAATAAATAAATGAATAAAAGCAAAAACAAACCAATAAACTTGAGTCTGATAAGGCAAGATTGATGTATATTTTATGCTATCCACACATCCCATTGCCCAATGAAAGAAGGAAAAAATGAAAGAAAGAAAAGAAGAATTAGTAAAATATATTTGAAAAAATATAAAATGATTAATAATGCTGTGTTTATTATTTAAAATTACAAAACAATATTGACCTCCCTACAGTCTGTACCAATCAATACAGGAAAATTTCTTTTGTCTTAAGACATTTTTTGATATCTGAATGCTAAATACAAATGTCTTCACTTGTTAGTTAGTAATACTTAAAAGTTAAAAGAAAACGTTTTGCATTCATAGTGTTAAAACATACATTAACAACAAAAATACAAAATGTTTAAAAAAAATAAAATATGTATGTACTAATTATCATCATATCTTATTCATTTGACAAATGATTTGCATTTGGTTGCAGAAAGAATATTAGTTACATTTTAAATTAAATTGCTGTCATTATTTACTAAGTATTGGCTAAGAACGAGCTGTTTGGTGTCTGTTGGATTTTAAATCACTCCACCAAAACTAGAGAGTTTTTTATGTATATAGTTGTACATACATGTATACACATAGGTACATATATACCTGCCCACTCATATATATCTGTGTATACATATACACAAACATATACACATTTTAGATCCTTTTTTTTCTCATGTATACTTACATATTTGCATTACAAATACATTATTTTTACTTATATATTTACATATATATTATTTTTATTTATATATTGATTGATTGGGCCATGCTAATGTTGATTATGGAGGTACAGTTTTCTGCTGCTAATGTCCAAGGTTGCCAAACTTTTTACTAAAATAGGCTTTACTTGAGAACACAGTTTTTGAACTGATTTCCTTCTCGCTCATGTCTAGTTTTTATAAAAAGTAGTATCAAAAGTTACAAGTAGAAGAAATCAAAATTTAAATGCACTTTCAAAACTATCGCAAGCTGGCATCTCTGTTTGTGCATGTAAAATAGTTATGGTTGAGTGGTTTGTTCAACATATGTAACATGTCTTCTTAATATTTCCTCTAGATATTAGCTAAGCTTGGCTTATGTTGGCATAAATTTAAATATAGGGAAATTGAAGAGGTAAGAAGATTTTGTTGCACAAATCTTGTAAGTGAGTAAGACCTGACTTGAAAATCAGCATTCAAAATCACAATTCCTTCAGTTAAAACATCGTCTGTTGGCAATGGTCAGAAATACATAATTACTTTAACCACTATAGTTGTCCTTTTTCAGAATGAAGAAACTCCTTTGTTTTGAAAGAGTGGTGTGTGTATATATATATATATAAAGATGAGGAAAAGAACAGATAGAGTAAAAATTCACTGTCCATAGCATTTACTTTTAAAAAAGTGCTCAATAAAAAGTAGAGCAATATATCATTATTATTTTTATTATAAGAGATTGTAATTAAAACACATTGAAATCGCTACACAAAAGCTTTCATGTTTCAATACTATGATTGTACTTCTTCAGGCGATGGTAAGTAACTTCTTTGCCTGAAGAAGTACAATCATATGATTGAAACATGAAAGTTTTTGTGTAGTGATTTCAACATTTTTATTATCTCTTAAAAATAATAATAATGATAATAATAATATTATATATATATATATATATATATATATATTTAACTTGAATATATTAAAAAAATGTATAGTAAAAAAAACTTGCTTCTTGAAAATGAAAAGTTTTTGGAAATTTTCATAAGAAATTTTTAACTTATGTAAATTTTATTTTCCAGACAGATCATTGAATTTCATTTCAGCCAGACTAATTTCCTCATCTTTGTTTTTTTTATTTTTTCTGCTGAACTTTCCAGCCTCTCTGAAATGTCTTGTATTTTGTAATGTTGAACTTTAACCAATTATGTTGTCATACATATTCTCAATGCAAATTTTTCAAAGGAATTTTAAAATATTTTCTAAATTAAAACAAAAATCCAGTGCATGTTTTGTGTTTTTCTACAAATCCTGTCAAAGAATTTCAAATACATTCCCAATAGAGTTCAGGAAAACAAGAAAACATTTGTTTGTGTTATAATCAATTATACCTTTTCCTGAAAATGGAATCTGTCATTGATGTAAATAGCTGTTAATATAAGGACAATAACATGTGCTCTACAGATGGTGTTTAACAATAAATGTGTACTTGCTGTAGAGATAACAAATTGCATGGTAGAATATTGCTAGCAATGTCGTCAGCCAACAGACCCACTCAATGTCTGTCTTTTTTCTTTTTTTTAACTATACACATGCACCATATTTGCAATAAAGTAAAAAATGTAAGCCATATGGAATTTGGGAAGGACTTTTTTTATTGACTGCAGTAAAGTAATAGAAACTTAATTGACATTTCCCTTTTTTTCTGTTTGTTCTTTCTTTTTTTCTTTTATTTCCTTCATTTTTCCAGATCTTTTTCCTTTTCTTTTTCCTTCTTTACTCTATCTTTTTCTTCTCTTTCTTCTGTTGTTTTCTTTTTTCCCTTTCATTTTTCCTTCTCATTTTCTCTTCATTTTTTCTTTTTTCTTTCACTTTTTCTTTTTTCACTTTCCTTTTTTCTTTCTCTTTCTCACTATTACTTTTTCTTTATCCATTTCATCTCTATGCAAAAAGTATGAACAATACACTTGAGTGGCACCTTAATGTACACAGATGCTGATGGTTTTAGTCTACCTCCAGATTTCAAGAAGTGGGAAAAAAAGTTATACATATGGAAATTTGATTCACAAACTCTTTTTTCACAACCATCTTTGACACTTCCACCAGGGAAGAGAAAGGGAATGACGATCCTGATGCTCAGATACAAGCAGGTGCTGACCAGTATATATGCTATTCACTTATCTAAAACTGATCTTGAAAAGAACCTCCAATCTGTGTTTGACTGGGGCAGGAAATGGCTTGTAAACTTTAATGCCTCCAAAATGCCAAAAACTGCTCTGCTCTACTCAGCACAGAGAATCCTTCCTGCCTCCCATCAGAATGACTGATTCCCAACTCCTTGAGAGCACCTTGTTACACCTGCTTGGCCTTACACTGTCCACTGACATGGGGTGGAATAAATACATTGAATCAATAGCTTCATCTACCACAAAGAAAGTTGGCTCTCTATGTCGTGCCAGAAAGTTTTTCTCGTTTGATTCCATCCTTCAAATCTATGAACCAACCATCCGTCCTTGCATGAAATATTGCTGTCTTATATGGTCTGGTGCCCCTGCTGTACTTCTCAAGGTCCTTGACAAAATCCAGAGATGAATATGCAAGATGATAGGTCCTGTTCTGTCATCTAGTTTACAATTGCTATCCCGCAGGTGTGCTGTGGCCTCTCTCTGTCTCTTCTACAAATATTTTTACAGCAACTGTTCTGACAAGCTACTTTTGCAGGTTCCCGGACTACATGAATTTAAGCAAGCTACCAGGCTGGCATCTCGGTCCCACCCTTTCACTGTTAAAACGGTTAAATGTAACTGTCTCTTCTTCTCAAACAGCTTCTCCCGCATTTCCCATCTGTAGAACTCCCTTTCCCCTTACTTGCTTCCCTGATGACTATAATCTTCAAATATTCAAGTGTAATATCAATCGACATCTGGCTCTTTGAGCTTGTTCCGTATCCTTCTCTGAAACACACCTCTTTACTCTTGTTCTCAATCCTCTATAACCCCTTGCGTGCTAGTGGCACTTTCCCCTTGCTTGGGATGAATTGCCTTAAAAAAAAGAAAAGAAAAAGAAAACTGATGTTCTGGGCCAATTCTGAATATACATTCAGAATGAACATACTCTGCTTAATATTGTTTGGCAGAGTTGATAAAATGTTTCTTTTTTCAGTTTTATTCATAACTATTTCTGAATCTCAATGATGATTTATTTTCTAAAATTGTGATTTAATTATATTTGCACTATTTTTTTACATTTAAATTATTTTTTTTATTTTCTTAATTCTATTATTATCTCTATATTCTAATCCATGGCTCTCAGTAGTGTCTCTGTGACTTTCATTTGGATCTTATTTGCTGACATTTCTGTATAACATATGTTTACACAGGAGTAAAAGAATAAATAAACTTTGGTAGTGTTGCAGATAAGCAGTAATAACAGAATTAGTTGTGAGTTTGGTTGATTTTTTTTTTTTTTTTTTTTTTAATGAAAAATTAAAAAAAACAAATGTTCCCAATAATGAATATATAATAGTGACAGTAAATTGTCATGAAACCAAAAGCAGGCTGCAGAGTACAACCTCAAAGACATAAAGACAAGAAAGATGTCAAAAGAGCTTCAAATAAATCAATGTATAACAACAATGCCTTCACAGAGAAATTCAGATAAAAATTTTCAATTATATATTTTTGATTAAGCACCCTTTTCACAATATTTCTAAATGTTTTTCCCTCTATCCAGAATGTCTAACTCAAAAGATGCATTGTAAAATTTGAATTAGTAGCAAGAGCAAAATATTCCAATAGCTAGAGAGCTACCAATGTCTTGTCTTGGTTCCTTTAAGAAACCAGAAGCTAGTTTGGCAAAGCTTTACTACTGAATTGAGTTTTTATCCTGACTAGGCTTATGATCTTGTGCCGGATTTAGTTAAGTTTTATAAATAGGATTTGCCTTATGGTTTATTTACCTATGTATCTTAGCTTATCCTAAAGTTCAGTGTTTATGCCTTGGTAAAATTCAGCTAGTGCATGCTGATTTTCAAGTGTTCCCCATTTGGAAAGAAGGGTATAGTGACAAAAACAACTACAATGAAGAGATTGATCCAAATGAATAAAATGGGTTTTAGACATTCCTCTCCCTACTTCATTTCCCCATTCTCTTCATATAAAAGTCTTATTTTAAGCTTTTTAATTTTTTAATGAAAATACTATGCAGTCATTGGCATCTTTTGCTATTTTTGGTCAATGCAAAAACTTCTCTTTATTGATGCTATATTTGATAGCTTCTAAGACCCTCTTCCATTTTAGTAGGAATATTAAAAATATTTTAATGTATCTACAGAGGTAAGCATAACTCCAGTATAATCAGAAAAGAATCAATCATATTTTACCCCTTTTAGTTTGTTCTGCTGCAGCCATCTTGAGCTGTGTGCTAAATGAAGATATTAATCTCACAACATCTATCTTCAATTTTACAATTCTGTTTTTAATTATAATAGTATAACAGTGATAATGTTAATGTTAGGTGAATAAATAATATTATTATACAGTTAGGTGAGGTACAAGGATTGGTAGTGTAAGAAGTATGGATAAACATTGACCTACAAGATGTTTCAACTTGTGAGACCCAGGAGATATTTTTTAATCTATTTTTTAGTAGGAAAAATCTGGTCTTTTATGTCATCAAATAATTTTACTAGGACTTACAGCCATATCATGAGGAAATACTGATTCCCGTATGATCACCAAAATTAAGCAACATCAAGCCTGGTCAGTACCTAAACGGGTGACCACTTGGGAATACCAGGTGCTGTAAGCTTCAATGTGCATGTGGTATAAGGAATAATGCCATGGAATTGTTAATGTAAGAGACAAGTTCCAATTCCAGTTGTGTTTGTATTATTCACTTATACATAAATACACTTGGGAAAAGTATGAATCCACCTCTTCTCCCCCAGCTATGGGTTAATTAGTAAGACCTGTATTACTAAATCATTATTATCTGAAATAAAATTCTTACAAGCTAAAAAATATTTTCTGGCTTTAAATAACCTGCAAAGGGTTGATAAGTTGTAGAAAACAAATCAATCAATAATTTTACTATTCTGTAGCTTTACCTGTGTGATTTATTTATCTGTAGCATCTATGTTGAGAAAAATGAAATTATAGCTACAAAACCATTTTAAAAGAGGCTTATGGCTTCAGTCAAGGTTTAAATACATTCTTTTTGTGATTGTTTAACTTATTCTTAAAAAAAATGAAAACTTGTTGATATCAATTGCTGTAGTTGTTTCCAAATAACTTTGAGTGCCATTCTGATATTGATAATTTTAATTATTGATTATTCTTTTGGATTTCTTTTCAGGTGAGTGTTCTCCCGAAGATAACACACAAGGAATTTACCTATCATTTGGTATATAAAAATTTGTGAAATTTTTCTTTTCCTTTTTGTTTCTTAAGTTTTAATCAGAATATTCAAGTTTAATTTACCCAAACACCTGTTTATGGAAAACTGAAAAAAATGGCAGGTGAATTATCAAAAATATTACTCTCCATATCCCAAAATGATCAAAATGAATTGTAAATTTGGAAGGAAGAATTGTTAGTAGACAAGAGTTCATAGAAATGACGCTGATAGAAAAAGACTATGTATAATTACTAATTCATGATGAATCAAGAGTAGAATTGAAAGAGAATTTGTGAGAAAAGCATTCTGCTTTATCAGCAGAAGATAATAGCATTTCAAATAGATTGAATAATTCTCATTCAGTTTTTCTTTTGCATAATTACAAATTCAGACTTGGCCATAAAGTCTTTTTACTAGCATTTTTCTTTTTTTATCATAATTTATTGTTTAAAGAATGGAATCCTACGTTTCTGAGCTGCATCAGTTTCTGATTTCCTTTCTTTTATATGGGGTAAAAATTTGTTTTGCATAAGAAGGAATTGTATTTTATTTCATCTAAAAAAACAACAATACATTTCCGTGGATTCCCCTTCAAAAAAAAAGATTTTTGTCTGCTGCTATTCATCTGCTTCATAACTTCTGTATCTGTCTATATTTCTGAGATGAGATATTATGTACACTATTTATATTATTCGGACTATTGTCATCATCTTTGTCGCCATATTTATTACAATGTTTCGGCTGTTGTATGCTCCGGCCTTCTTCAGGTGGTTGGAATGTCAGACTGAACCCTTTATTTTGCTCACTGGGGTAGACTGTTCTAGTTCCACGTGCCACGGATCTCAGTTATCACTTATCTCCTGTTAATTCCCCTCTCCAAGTTCTCCACTGCCTTAACCAGGTATTGAACTCCATGTGTCCTCAAGAACATATGGCAGAGTGGATAAAGGCGTTTGTTAGATCTAGTGACAGTACCCAAAGAGTGTGACATTTTTTTAGTGCTCAGATGAAAATAAAGTAGTCAGTTCTAATAAACTCATAAAAAACATTAAAAATGCTTTAAAAAATTTAAATTTTGAAAGTAATTTCAAACTATGAGGGAAAAGTGTATGACAAAATGACTACAGATCTGTGTGTCACTTTATCATTAAAGCTTTTGTGAATGAAATAGTTAAAAAGGTTGATAGACCATAAAAAAAATCATGAAACGGTTAAAGTGACTTCCATGAAAGATGAGTTCTGGGCACAACAATAAAATACATCTGGCATCAAGGTCTCTAATCAGGAGATTGGAGGTTTTGAAGATCATTGAACCACTTCTTAATTGCTGTTTTTCCCAGGTCCACTCTGACCTGGGATTGTGGCACCTGTGAGGGTCCGAGCTATGGATAAATAGTGAACCCCCAAACAAACATAAAAAAAACACTATGAAAGTATAAAAATGCAGGCAATACTTTTTTAAATAAAAAAAAATGACTAACAATACATATTTATAGTAAAATAACCAACAATAAATCTTATCTGTAATTAAATACATACAATTGCATTCAAAAAATATTTAGTTGAATCCATAAAATTGTGTTCAAAATATTTAGATTTCAGCATTAAATAACCCGTATAGGTGTCGATATGCTACTAAACAAAACCAACCAACCAACCAACCATGAAAGATAGGCTCTCAACATAATGAATATATGTGAAGCTAGTTATATTATTTCAGGTTTTTTTTTTTCTATGTTATTTGCTTTTATTGGCTAAAAAGTCTATCATGTTATAGAAAAGCAAAATTAGTAAGAGGGATTGCAACTAGGAATAAAATATTAGACATAATGAAGAGTGTACGAGGCCAGAGTGTTAGGATAAAAGGTAGCAATAAGAATATGGTGTAAAACAGAAAATAATAACAAATGTCTTAGATGCAAAAAAAAGAATTATTTAAAGATTAACTCTTTATTTCATTTTCATTAATTGTAAAAGGTTTTTTAGAGTCCCCCTCCCCACAAAAAACCCACTCCTGATTAATTTGATAAAGAGAATTTTATAAAATTATGCCAAATTATCCCATTTGACAGCAACAAGTCTCAATCTTGAATGATGAACGACCAATGACATCTAACAATAGATTTAGCTGAGCCTAATTTGGTATTGTTACAAGTCAAAAAAACATTTGATTTGATCAAACTATATTAACATATGCACATGATTCTCTTGATACATCATAATGTGTATGCGTAGATGCACACGAAAAGGAGAAGAGATGAAATGAAGGGATATATTATTCTGCAATGACTTGATTGGCTTCATACATCAAATGCCAAATAAATTAATGACAGGGAGAAATCTGAGACTTATATCAGACCCTGTATTATATGAAACTTGAAATTATTCATTTTGTGATAACAACTTAATCATTCTGATTCCAGTGACTCATGAATGTAAAAGATGCTAGCTTTGCCTTGTTCATTTGGCATTAACAGTCTGTAGATATTTCACATGTATGATCTGAAAAGTGTTGTGCAAATAGGGTGGGCTGGAGAACAAGATCTCATCTAAATGTTTGTTTACTTCTCTGTAGGAGCACGATTTTACTATATGCTGTGATTGTAGAAAAAAAACAATGCACCTTATGTATCTGTCTATATTTCTGAGATGAGGTATTACATTATTCAGACTATTGTCCTCATCTTTGTCGCCATATTTATTACGTTTCAGTCATTGTATGCTCTGGCCTTCTTCAGGTGGTTGGAATGTCAAACTTAACCCTTTATTTCGCTCACTGGGGTAGACTGTTCTAGTTCCATATGCCATGTTTAATGGATGTCAGTTATCAGTTATCTCCTGTTAATTTCCTGTGATCTGAAAGTTCTCCTCTGCCTTAACTGGGTATTGAACTCACACTCTTTGGGTCATGTCCTGATCCCACAGAGGGTGGTAATTTCCCTTCTCTCTCCATATGTGGTCAGCCATGCCTGATTTTTTCACTTCCCCTCGTGTTACAGCTTTCTGGTGTTCTTGAAGCCTTACCTTGAGGGGGCAGCCTGTCTCTCCTTTATATTTCTTTCCTCAGCTGCACGGGATAACGTACACACAGTCTTTAGTCATGTTCTCCTCTATGGTCCTTAAGGAATCAGCACATATGCTAGGCCACAAAAATCTCCTGAGCCGACCAAGCATAGAAATGAATACAATATGGGAACCAGTAATAAGGAGTGCCAGAGAAAAGTGATATTAATAACAATAGTTGCAATATGAGCTCTGGTAAAAACATGTAATGATAACTGAAAAAAATTGCAATATGAGCAGTGGTAAAAATGGTTGCTGAAGACATTAGGTTTATAATATCCAGAAATTCATACACAGATGTCCTCAAGGACACATGGCACAGTGGATAAATGTGTTGGTTAGATTCAGTGACAGGACCCAAAGACTGTGAGTTCAATACCCAGTTAAGGCAGAACTTTCAGAGGGAAATTAACAGGAGATAACTGATAACTGACATCCATTAAACATGGCACGTGGACTAGAACAGTCTACCCCAGTGAGCAAAATAAAGGGTTCAGTTCGACATTATAACCACCTGAAGAAGGCCGGAGTGTACAACGGCCAAAACGTTGTAATAAATATATATGGTGACAACGATGAGGACAATAGTCCGAATAATGTAAAATGCACCTTATTTACACTTAATTTTATATATATAAAATGTACTTATAAAAATCTAATTAAAATAGCATGGGATGACATTATCATCTGCATTTGACTTTATCTATTGGTATTTATATTTGACTAGCTGAAGTACCCAACTACACAGTGCAAGCCTTCTTCAATTTTGAACTGATTGATCACTTCTGAATGTCTCAGTTATCACCCTTTAACTCAACTCTCAAAGTTTTTGTTCACCACTGCCATAGCCAGGTATTGAACTCACAACTCTGGGTCAAGTCACTGGATCCAACCAATGCTTTTATCCACTGGGCCATGTGTCCTTGAGGACATCTGTGTATGAATTTCTGAGTATTATGAAGCCATGCTCTGTTCAAGATATTAGTACATCCATGAATGCAAGTTTGTTGTTGTTTTCTCTCTCCATTGTGAACTATATTGATGATCTTATTGAGTTCACATGGTCCAGTAGCCGGACCTCTTCCTGGTGTGGCCAGAATATGAAGGTGTCATCTACATATCTCAGCCATAGGGTTGGCTTAGTGATATGGATTCTAATACCATTTTTTTTTAAAGTATTCCATATATATGTTTGCCATTGCTGGTGATAATGGCGATCCCATTGCTAAATTTTTATCCTGTCGCTATATATCTGATCCCATTCCAAAGTGTGTTGTTTGTGTACAGAAAGTCAGCATCTCCATCAGGTTATCTATTGGTATACTAGTCCATTCTCCTAGGGATGAG